GTAGTTTTATGGTTTACATTTTATCTTACTGTCATTCACTTTCATTTATTTTAACAATAAATGAAAGATAAACACAGAATTCTAATAATTAATTAAGACTGACGCACCTTTACATTAGTTCTGGCCTCGTTGGTACCATCATCATTTTATCTAGAGACGAATCTCATAGGCCCAGCTCGTCCCGTCCACTACACCAGCTGTAGGTGGTTAATTCATGTTTCGCCGCGCTAATCAAATTTCTCTTTGCTCTTTGGAATACAGACGTGCTGCTCCTCTTTTTGGTGACATTCACTTGTTTTTAAAAATACTTAAACGTACCCGCGACAACTCCCATAGCTTATCCAGGTATACATTGTCTTCAATTTTGTGTCGCAGTTGCGAGAGCATGACAGCTTTTTCGTCGGCCTAGGCCTAGTGGTGGGCTGATAAATGTTCTAGTCTTTAAAATACTGAGCCTCGCGTGAACCTAAGGCGGTTCGCAAACCAAATACTTTCTAGACTGCAGCTTTTCCACGCACTCGATCTTGTGCGCAGAACAAAAAATTCTCTGGAATACAGCTTTTTTGGCGTTTTGGTTGGTGTTTTCTTTTCCCCCATTAACAATGTACCACGATATTCCACACACCTGCACGTACGGTACCATGTCCCAACTTCCCGACTTCTCTACATTCGTGGCACCAAAACGAGAACCGTTTGATTGGTTGACCTTCCGTCATAACATTCACCCTATTGCCAAATACGGCATCCTAAAAAGTACGTCATGCTTGTCACGGCCAGCGGTCTGCATTCGATTTGACTCACTCTTTTACATCTCTAATTCTCATCAAAAAAGTTTCTCAACATAAACTGACGCTGGTGGCGCTTTCCGAAATGTACTACGAAAAAAACATAAATTAGAGACTTGTGGCAAGTCTAGCAAAACGGAGCCGCAACTGCCTTATGTTCACAAGTCGCGCGCTAAGCCACAGAACAGAGACGCTCTACGAAAAATCACTGCGCTAATAAACAGCACTCACAGAATAATCGAGCGTGTGCTTATGTAAAAAAGTAGTTCTAATTAAATAAACAACAATAAAATTCGGTTCCCGACACAAATTCACTGAACAAGAGTGAAAATGTTCTACGTTTCATAATGGCATCACTTGTATACAGTACCATTCATATAGCACAAATATCCATTTTCAAGGAACTGCCCAATGTGTTTGGATACCGTTTCACTTATATACAGTAATAGGCAATACCTGTACAGTATTATTATAATAATAATAGGCAGCTTTAAAAACTCACCCTTTTAATGAGTATTTTCTTAAATTTTTTCTCCTGGCATTTTCATTTTTATTGTTAATAAGCGCATTGAGGCTTTTAGCATAATGCGCTACAGTATACAAGCCAAAGTTATTATTATTGCTATATTATTATAATTATTATTATTATTATTATTATTGTTATTATTGTTATTAAAGAAAAAACAAAAGTTTCAACAGTCATTTTGATATAGACATTTTATTACTATTTTGTGTAACTCGCACATACATGATGCAACACTCTGACAACATTGTCTAATGAGTAACGTAGAATAACATAGTATAATTAATGTCAAAACTGAGCATATGCAGAACTACTCTGCTGCTTGTATATTACTTTAAACAGGCATAAATGAATATTGTCCTGGAATAACAAGTAACAGTACAATATTTACTGTGACTTTATTTTTATGAGAATTTAAATCAAATTGTACTGTGTATTTTAGTTATAATATAGACGGCTTAATATTTCAATGTCATTTAATAGTTAAAACTTTTAACATTGTTTGCTTTGTGGTTTGCTACTGCTACTCTTCTTGGTCTATTAGAGATCACAGTGATCCCATATGGGATACTTAATCCATCATTTTCATGATCTATTCGTTTAATGAAGACACCATTTTTATCAAATAATTGTAGTTTATGATTACTTGACACTATTATATTTTCATCCATATCCATGGTTACACCACAAGGACCCCTTACTTTACCATCTTCCTTACCACAGCCTACAAGGATTCGAATAAACTTATCATTTGCATCAAACATTTGTATTCTATCATGGGCGAAGTCAGCAATGATCATATGACCTTCCTTGGTTAAAGTAACATCATGTGGTTGACCTACTTCACTACCCTCTGAACCTATCTTACCTAGTAGTCTACCATCATCAACACTGAATTTAAACACACAGTTAGCCTCCCTATCTGCTACATACAGGACTCCAGTTTTTTTGTTTACTGTCAATCCCCCTGGATATTTCAATATTCCTTTACCAAATGAGATGATTTCTTTAAATTTATCATCACACATTACAACACATCTTCCTAAGAAATCACTGTACACCATGTGACCATCACCCATTAGATGCATTCTAAGGACCTCCACATCTTGGGGCACCTGTATCTTAGCAACAAAAGAACCTGATTGGTTGAACTTTAATATATCTTTACTATAGCTTGATACTAATAAGCATCCATATGTGTCTAACACTACATCTGTCACTTTATCAGATTTATTATGTTCTTTATAATCTGATATGTTATCAATGGTATGTAAGTCCCAGTGATTCCACCTTGATATTTACTGGAGATCCTTTGATGTGCGCCTCTCCCACAATAATCTTCATTTGCCAGTCACCTTCCAAAGTGCATCTACCTGTTATTTTGTACTCTCCATTTCCTTGATATTCTACCTCAGTGGTTGATTCTTCATATGATGGGTTGCTTAGAGTTGCAGATAATTTACATGCATCGCTCTCAATTAAGCTTGATACGGTTACTGCAAACGGCTGTTCTTTTGTGACAGTAATCGCTTCATCATCTTTATCAACCTTGAACATGCCATAGACAGTTTTGATTGTACCAATGCAACCTGAATTCTTCAATTCAATAAACTTTGGTATAATTTTCAATTTATGAAATGATTCATCAAAGTCTCTGAAATCATTGATGGTTGTCATATATGATACAAGAGTTGCTATTTCTTGTGGTTTGTTTATTGAGGACATCACATTATCAACATGAGACTGCTTTTCATTAATATCTTTAACTTGACTATCAATTTCTTCTTTCTTTTCTTTGTCTAATTTTTCAAGTTCTGAAATTAATTTTTTGCTTTCCTCTTGAACTGTCTTGATAATTTTCTTCTCTGTCTCTATAATAGCTGCTCTGCATACTTGTACATGGTCTTCCCAGTGAGATCTAGCTTTATTGATAGAATCAAGTGTTTCATTCAACATCTTTTGAATGTCCTTTGGTTTATTAGTAACATCATGTACAACAGTCTTTATTTCAAGCACGTCATGTTTATTTCGTAAACAATTAAAACCATGTTCACAGTGTTTACATGCTGATTTCTGGCATGTTAGGCAGAAGAATTCCAGTTCATTGTTACAGTGAATTGGACAGAAAATTTGTTCATCTTTGGTTCCTTTTAGTGTGTACAATGCCTTGCCCGTAGCACTCTGTAAAAAAATAAAATGGTGTACTCTTTTTTTAGATCGAATCTGTTATGTTCTCGCCAGTGTTTACGTACAGTAGGCCTATTATATAGTTGAACAAATGAAACGCTTTTTAATAAATCATGATCTTTTTTAAAATCATAGGCCTCATACGGTTCACCGGGATGATTTGAAGAAAATGTAGCGATTATAAATCCTAATCAAGTTTATTTGAAATTTCTTTATATCTATATATTTTTAAATTTTATTATTAAATTTGATTCTTAAATATTGTAAATTGTATTCACCAAATTTAACTGTAAATATTTAAAAAAATCAGTTCTGGATATTGCTCAATATTTATCTCAATTGTAATAAATTTGTACATGGATTATTAAATTGGTACAGTAGACCTTATTACTTGACTATTAAATAATTTTATTATATAATTTAATTAAAAGTTTTTTGGTAATTTATATGTTTTATTTGTATGTATAAGGATTTACTTTTGTTTCTTTGTGCAATCCATATTATCCCACATACTGTACAGTAAACATGTTAAAGTACAGTTTTCTCTACAAGTGCAGGTCTTCAATATCATAAGTTTTAGCAATCAGGCTAGGGCCTGGTTTAGACTATAGCGTTCATATCCTGATCGGAAGCTAATCATTAGCACTGCGTGTTAGAACATCTTGATCAGGATGCCAATCTGGTTATTTAGTGAATGTGGACCTTTGTATCAGTGGCACTCACTTAAGCGATGCTTTTACTATACCAAAACTAATTCATCCATGACTACACTGAATAAGACTACTTCCACTGTTGCGTACCAACGTAAATTAAATTCTCGCATGTGTACTTTGTATTATAACTTTTTGTTCAATAGTGTAAAATTGTTATTGTACAATATAGGAACTCAAAAAATGCCCCTAATGGTAAGATGCCTAAAAGGATATTGGTGCGATATATATTTTTTCACATTTGTGCAGGTGTCTAGGTGGAAAAAATCATTACAATAATTTTGTCTTCAATACTCAAATTAGTATATGATGTTTGTACCACATAGGCTTGAAATACATCAAGTGATAAAAGACAAGGTTTTAGATTTAAGGCCTGTTTACACTTCAACATTAACGATAATGATAAAAATGCTAAAACGCAATTGTTCATATAGAAAATAAAAGAAATAAGAAGTTTTTACACTAGAACGATTCGATAATGATTTATCAGTTATGCGATAACAATATATTTTGACAAATCAATACGATAAACCGAATCGTTCTAGTGTAAAAATTTCTCTTATTTCTTTTGTTTTCTATATGAACAATCGCTTTTTAGCATTATTGTTGAAGTATAAACAGGCCTTAAGGGTCTTCATAGCTACCACCCTATTGGCATGGGAATTGTAATTATAGAAACATGAATATATATTTAATTAGATAAGTTTTGTACCTCGCCCAGCAGTCAAACAAAATTGCCTGTGATTAGATTTGTTTCAATTGCCAAAATCTTGCAAATTAATTATATTGAGTACTTTATCAATGCGGCTGTGTGTATATCAGGTCTCGTTTATGGTTGGTGAAGGCTTCTTTTATTCATCATGATTTCAGTCAGAAATTATTCAATCGCAAGGACTCAAAAATTTGTAAAATTTGTCTAGGTCCCAAAAAAAAAACAAAAAAAAAAAAACAAAAAAAATGATATAAAATAACAATCACACCAACACCAACTGGCACTTTTTTTTCCGTATGTTTTAGTAAGTTTCATATTACTTTGTATCATCAAGTGCCCTTAATTTTAAAATAAAATTTTTACCTTCCTCATTTGAGGTGAGATAAATCCATGATGTGTGCTCATTTGTGGTGAGATAAAGCCATTATGTGCAATACCTGTAGCTCCCTGTGATTCTGAAATTAAGAGAGTATTATAAAATTTTTTAGTGAAGTTTAAGTCCAAATCCAAACCAAAGTGTCACAAACATAAACATTGGATTTATTTGGTGTTATTATATATATATTGATTTTCCAAACAATCAAAATAAAAATGAAATTCTGATTTCTTTGTTGGTAATCACATTTGTAATAATAAATGCAATGCTCAAGTATTAATTTAATATACAATACAGAGCATAGAAATTAATTGTCTGTCTAAGGAATAAATATATAAAATAAAATTGCAATGAATAGGCAAATAAATAATGCAAGGAGCAATGTTAAAAAGAAATTTGTATGGAAATTTTTATCTGTATGGTATTAAACAATGGTAAAATGTTATTAGAGTACTTGTAAACAAAAGGCAGTTCAAATGCTTGTTCTTCCTAGGCTACATTTTTTGGCACAGGTACAGGCCAACAAGAAGTCAAAATATTTGTTCAGAGGCAGATTCAAGGGGAGGGGAACCATGGTGTGGCTAAAAGTGAGCGTCTGGGCTTCCTTTCTGTGAGTCCCTGGTGGGTTTTTCAGACCGATAAATTTCGAATCCTAGAAGTTAACTGACGTAATGGGTTATACTACTGTGACTGTAGGCTTTGAAGTAATTGCATAATTAAATATAGAAGATAGGTAGTGCCGGTGCTTCATGTCTTGAAGTGGTGGCTGGACCGCCTTCCCTCCCCCCATTCCCTTTTTTATATGTATACAAGTGAACCCATACGTTTTCTATGCAAAATTTTCACAATTTCTGTTTTTCTCTTTCCAATTCTAATGGGTCAAAATTACTGATTTTAAATAATAGGAATTCTCTTAATTTGAGTTTAAGTCTTGAAATTCAGAATATACTTCAAATCTTGTGACTAACTAAGTTGCCAGCTGCTTCTAAATAATCCCTCTAACTTGTCTTCCATCCGCCCTTAAAGTGATACCGGACCTGCAGTTTAACAGCTGTAATGAAAAAATTGTTCATTCCTTTAGGAGATAAAAATATCTATATATACTTTGTAGAATAGATTTTTTTACAATTTTGGTTCTTTTATTATCTAAATCAATAATGTTCTTCTTCTGACATGACTGCAATCTCAGCCTGGATGCCAAGGGGGCAGATCTGTTTGAAAGGTGTGGGGGTGTGGAGGACATTTCCTGAGTCAACACCCACCTCATCCCCACCCTGGTTAGGGCTGAGGTGCGAAAATTTGAGGAAATAGTACCCTCTAGATGGCCAGAAATGACCTTCTTAGTAAAAATTGATCATCACATCACTATTATAGTCAAAATAATGTGGCAATAAAAGAGGGGTATGTGTCCATACCCCTCCCCTGGTCCCCCATGATCTGTCCCCATATGCTAGATGCAGTAGAAAATTAGTGGGAAAAAGTAAGGAATATTTATTTTCGGATTTCCTGAATCAGCATAAGCATAGCGTCTCAAAAAAAAAATCAACATCCATAGGAGGACTTGGCTTTTTTTTAGCACTTTTTTCCTACAATTTGGCCTAAAATACCCTATTTTGGACTAATGGTCTAGGGCAAATAAATAACAAAAACATTGGTTTAGATTTATATTTAAATTTATTTGGAATCACCATTAGCGGCACACATCCTTATACAACGACTATCACCACTTGTGGACCCCGGTTGCACTATTGTTGCTGCATCACAGCACTCCAAAAACTGGTGAAAATGTTATCAGCAGGGTGCAAACTGACTGTTCTACAGGTATATATGTTTAATAGAAATTTTAAACCCAAATTCCCATAATATTTTTAAATTATATTTTATTATTAAAATTAATATTATTGTTAGTATAATATATTATTATTAATCACTATAATATTATTACCAATAACGATACCATTTTCAATCTCATCACCCTCATCATCTTCGCTGATATTTTTGAATTCCAAAGGAAGAAGAAAGCCTACACAGATGATATGGATAAATATACTAGGAGGCGCTGCTTTGTATCAGCTAGATGTTCCGTCAGACCAATCAGCGATGCCAAACAAGCCAACAGGTGATACTCTTAAATTAAAATATGCAGACACGAGTGTGTTCTTCACCAGCTTTGCACTAGAAATTATTCCTTTTTATGGCCACAGCTAGATGTTCCTTCAGATCAACCAGCAAAGATAAACAACCCATGCTGTTTGTTGTTGTTCATGTGATGTTGTTTAACCAAAGGAGACAAAACCGAGTAAAAAGAAGCCATCCCGTGTGTCTTGAGAACCCTTGGTCATTCAGACCTGATGAATTGATGTGCCATTTGCTGAATGATTTCAGAATATAGCAGTCTCTTGTAGTGGCCTAAAAGCTACAAGAAATCGAACTTACTCCATATGATTGCGATCCAGAACACTTGATAATGAGACAGCAAGTCTACAGGTGATAGAGCAAAGCTCACTAGTTCAATGAAATTCGGTACCGGTAAAGTTAAGAAGCTGTTACAACGCTATCTGGTTATTAACCAGTTGGCCAAATCCTTATTGAGAGAAAGGTTTGGTGCTAATATATTAGCGTGGATAAATAAAATAACAAATAGACCAGATGTGAAGACTAGCTACTGACCTTCAATATTATGCACCTGTGGTGTTACCAAGAAACTTCATTTAAAAAAATTTTCAATAACATCAAAAAGTGTGTTACACCAACCATGGTTGGCTAGGCTGGGGTGGATATGCACTCACACCCAACTAACTTTAAATCCTGTATCCATTAATTCATGAATAAGGGTAGCATGTCTACAGTCTGGCAGCTACCCCACCAAAAATAATTCCGGGATCCCGTCGGGATCCCGCCGGGATCCCGACGGGATGGCCGTGTCCCGGCGGGATACGGCCATCCCGGTGGGATCCCGCCGGGATTTTTTTCCGCAATTCCGGGATGAGCGGGATTTTTTTCGCAATTTCGGGATGGCCGGGATTTTTTTTTTTAAATCGGGATTCTATCGGGATGTTTCAGAAATTTCGGGATCCCGCCGGGATGGAAATATCCCGCCGGGATGGACAGACATTGCATCCCGGTGGGATTTTGTTTTTGTCGCGCAACAGGCCTATGTGTAATTTTTATAGAATGTGTACGCTTAGGCCTAATCATAAACAATGGAATAACATTATTATTTATCATATAAGAGCTAGCATTTAAATCTAACAATGGATAAAACGCGTTTATAGAACTCCCATTGTTCAATACGGCTACACCCATCGCTTAACAATGGAATCAACTCTTCAATACAAGTCATTTACTTGGCCGTATTATTCGTTCTTAGCACCTATTGTTTACCTCTGAATAGGCCCATCTTCTCTGATTCATTATAACATAATTTTAACGCCAAAAGATTCTTTTGCACTTCTTGTAGAAACCTCCGCTGGCCACATTTTGGAAATACTATGTCATCTGTAGTAGCAGAACAACAATGAGAAAATTTCCCACGACAAATTCCCATCTAGTGCACTGAACTACTTCCCTACATTCTTAACTTTACATGCGCGCGAGTCGGAAAGATGTGTATAAGAGACAGCTTCTCAACTATAAAGCATATAAAGATTATACGATCCATAAAGGCACTATATAAATACAGTATTATTATTATACATTCACATCACTTGTGTCAATCTTGTTTTTTTACCTGTGTACATGTAGATTGAATCTGCAAACAAATACTTGAAACCAAAGAGACCTTGCATCTACTGTGGGGAAATGCAGAGTCAACTTAAGAGACATCTAAAGCGCAAGCACATTGAAGAGGAGCAAGTCAAGGCAGCCTTTGGGGCTGAGATGTACCGTATACATTTTTATTTCATCTCCATTGTTGACAAAATATTTAAACTAACATTGTTATATCATATCTTTTCTACCGCACTAACAATTTTAAATTTGATACTGATATCATTTCAATACTCACTTAACATGTTGAATTTGTTGAATTGATTGTTAATTTGTTGAGGTATACACTATTGGTTCCCAAGCTGATGAGTGCACAATGCATACTTGCAACGTATAGCATGTTTCGTATGCAGGCGATCCCAACCAAAAGTACCTCCTTAACAAAATAGAGGATCGAAACAGCTAATGCATCAGTAACCTGCTGTAGGGCCGGGCATAGGCCCTGTATAAAAGTCAATACTTTGGAAAAAAAAAATCTTTAAAAATTCAATGGCGATGCTTTAGCTGTCCTTGGGGTTCAAGTTATTCACTGTTAGGTTATCTGTTTCAGAATATTTATTATCATAATGTATTTGTATAGCCTCTCTGACAGCAGTATACAGTATTGCCGTTTGTTGGATAAAAGGCTCAGATTCGACAACGTCTGCTTCCTGGTGAGTATAATCATATGGATGTATGATCCGGCCACATCCAACACATAACAGCCGAATGACAAGGCCCAAAAGCTTCAATTATAATATTTTGCATTTTTTTTAATTATTCATATTTTATGCATTCACTCATGAATAAAGATTGAATAGCAGTCCAAGTGGGTCCTTTCGTTATCATTCTTTTGTCTGCAGCAGCAGTCTGGCAGGTCAAATAATGACCGATTTTGTCGGCACTAGGGGAGCCCCGGTTCCTGGATCAAGGGGCCGGGCCCCAACCTCTTCTACCAATAGCATTACCGTACTCTAACAGTCATTACATAATTGTCATTACGTTCTCTGTAGATGACATCCAATAGTCAATTAAAACAATGTAACCCTTAGGTTTTTAGTTCACAAATGTTGTCCTATGTGGAATCACTTTTATATACAATATCAATGCCCAAACGAAGTGTTCCACGGTACAAACTGACATTTAAAGTTCGAAATAAGGAAGTAATAGGCTACCCAACTTCTTACAGAATTCGAATCAAATTGTAGTACAGTAATTACAGGTTACCGTACTGATATTCCACTGTAAGTAGGCCCCCTCGACCAGCACTTTTTTGACACTATGCAAGGGGCCCAGTCTTCCCCTGAACCCGAGGCTTCGGTCTGTACTTGCTTTGATAGCAAACATTTATACAATGTTGAGGTGTTTTCATATTCTGCAAGTGGAAATTCAATTGCCATCATCGCCCACCGATGCCAGTCAACAAGGATCATGATGAAAGATCAAGTACTAAACAGTGCATTTTATTTAAAGCGTTTTATGAGGGACCAATAACATTCACGCATTTCACAAATATGACTCTTGTATCACGGGCGGATCGAGTAGGTGGAAATGTGCCCCTGTTTTGCTGCTTTTAAAAATTTCAATGCATATATTCATATGTTGTGCTCCTCAATTATCTATTCTGAAAAAAAAAAACTGTTGTACGCCCCTCCCCCTCCCGTTCTTTAGCCCTTTTACACTAGTCACGATTACGACACGACAACGACATATCATCGCGTACTTTGTATTCTTTAACACTGCGCGAATCTGTATATCTTGTCGTTGTGTCGTAATCGTGTCTAGTGTAAATGTCGCTTTAGTACCATATCTTCCATGCTATTACTGTACCACGAAATGCTTAGAACAGCCTACCATGGGCGGGAGATGTGGTGGGGCAATCAGGGACTTGTGCAAGCACAGGAAACACAACATGTGTAGTTTTATTATGACAATAAATTGACAGTATAATAGGCCTAGGCCTAATAAATCTTGTGTTTCTTGAATGGTTCTGACGGCTGGGATATTTACTCCTGCAGGAGGGTTTTATGAGAACTTCCTCTTCCCCTTGATCTTCCACTGTGAAAATGCATCATAATCCATTTATTTCTGATCTTGCAATTTACCAGGCACAATTAGACTGGTCCCGTCCTGAAGAACGGGATTATAAACCGTATTAATCAAATTTCATCAAAGGTTTATGTATACCACAATTAGGCCTATGTTTCAAATCAACTAAATAGAAACTCCAGGGGAAAAAAGTTACTAATAACAGGTTCGATTAAAGTCTACAAAGGGAAGTTGCTGTTGTTAGTGATGGCTTGGTATAGATTTTAGTGCATGGTGTACTTAATTTTATACACAGCAAGCTGACCACCGTCCGAGAATCTTGTTAATTTTCAAAAGTAAACAAATAGGCAGAAAACCACATTTATTACTCTGGTCTACAGATCAAGTTATTGATTAATATTAACTAATTAAAATAAACCTATATATAGGCCTATAGGCAGTAAATACACATTGGACCATTGAATTCAACACGAGAGTAAAGGCCGGAACAATTGGTGTAGGCCTACTTTATTAATTATAGTATATCAACAAGGGCGATCCAAAGCCTTCCGGGACGGGATCGCGATCCCACCGGGACGGGATGGATCCCGACGGAAGCGGGATTTTATGACCTGATGACGCCGCTTTGACCTGCAAAGATATGATATGATTGGATATATAATTACAACTGTCATTTCAAAAATATGACGAATAATTTTCAAGACTAAAGAAGGGGTTAGAAATTAGAGGCCTAAAAACGAGAAATCCAGGAGGTAACGAAGGCAAGTAGACCTAGGATTATGAAAATTGTGACACATTATTGTTGTAAAATGAATACATTGCATTAGTTAATTTACGTGGTAGGCGTGTAAGGAAAAATAAAAAAAAATAAAACTAGGCCTGTAGCCTACATAGCTGAGGCTAGGCCTCTACTGACCTACGACTACTACTAACATAGGCATGCCTAGGGCCTATGCGTATAATAATGTATATCATTATTTTATAAGGCCCCCCCCCCATGCCTTAGTTGGGCTAAGTAAAACTTAAAATATGACTCAGAAAATCTAATTTACTTACTAGCATACTACATTGGCACTGCATATCAGCATCTAGACCTTATATTTATATATTAATTTTAAAGTGGTACGCTAGGCCGTATGCAAAATGCCGGAAAATGTACAGTAGGCCTCGCTTATATAATAGTTGCTTGTGGCTCCGCGGGTTTTTCTTGAATGCTGTCTAATCGGTCTGCAGCGCACGCCTTGATAATTGTAGGCCTAGGCTAGGCCAAAGTAATATAGGCCTATCTAAAAGTCAACAATGCTAAATAGGCCTAAAAATGTAATGACGTGCACAGCCTAGGTCTAGATTCGGCTATATCGTCGTTGCATCAGGGAATGCATCAAGATGGAAAAATGATGATTCTGTGCGTGCAGTTGTCTCTTCTATCCACCTACACTCTATCTAGCGCTCTAGAACAGACAATTTTTTTTCTTTTTTTTTTGCTATTTTGCGCAAATTTGCGTTTTTTGTTCGGGATCCCGATAAAAATCCCACTGGGATCCCGATCAAAAATCCCGGTCGGGATCCCAATAGAATCCGGTAGGATCCCGATAGAATCCCGGTCTGGATTTTATCGGGATTTTTGATCGGGATCCCAGTGGGATTTTTGGTCGGGATTCCCGATTTAACGGGATCCCGATAGGGATCGCGACCGGGATTCTATCGGGACTTTTGATCGGGATCCCGGCGGGATTTTTGGTCGGGATTCCCGATTTATCGGGATCCGATCGGGATTTCGATCGGGATCCCGACCGGGAATCCCGACCAAAAATCCCGCCGGGATCCCGACCGGGATCCCGGCGATTTTTTTAGTGGGGTAAATTTGTTAAGTTCTTATTTTAATAGATGGACACTCGCAAAAAGCTCCTGATAGCTATCACCTACTATTAGGCAAAAAAAAAAAAAAGAAATGCTGTGTTGCCCTCCGCGACCGACCGATTTTTCAAAAAATTGGGTCAGCTTTTTTTTATTTGCTTTTCTGAAATTTTGTTTGAAAGTTTTCCTTTTACTTAAGTACAAGTTCAAGAAATACCACTTCAGAAATTAATAAATATTAATAAAATCTAATACAAACATGTATTTTTACCAAAATCGGGCCATAGATGCATGGTAAAATCGTTGAAGTAGAAGGCATAATTTTGAAGAAACGAGTGCGACGACAATGATTGTATTACATTATTTGGTCATTTTTCATAGCCATGGTTTTGCTTGATCTGTCCTCACGTGATCATGTGGATTGGATGCACAAATTATTTCTTTAAAGTATTCCTTTAAACAGATTTATTTTGGTTAAATTTATTTCAATATACTGGTTAGTATTTATTCCATCATTAATTTGAATATTTTTTGTTTGGCAAGTTTGCCATCATTCTATTGTAGTGCCTACGAAGCCTTAGGCCTAGGATCTTCATAATAGGGACTGCAGTTTGAAGCCTATCCTACATTTTAGGTATTACTAAAAAAAAAAGAAATAATTCGACCAACTGACCCACAATATTGATTTTTCCATTTAAAGGCAACACAGCAATTTTTTTTGGTCTTATTACATTCACTAACTGTACACTCCTATACATATTTTTAATAGTTTGAGCATTAATGTACCTTGACTTGGCCGCTGGTGATGTGTGGTTGATGGAAATGTATCACCATTACCTGTAAAAATAAATTCATCAATAAACAATCTCGATTAAGGCATTAGTTGTACTGTATATTATACTATGAATACTATGATTTGCAGTGGCATCTTCAATATTATGTAAATGCTCATGTTCCATGTTACTTTTGATGTTATAAATAAATGCGTGGCTATATTTGTACTCATTACAATAAATATAATGAATGATAAACAATTATCAAAATTCCAATTTAAACATTAATATACAATCCTGTTATTGTACCTTGACTTTAACATAAGAGTTTAAAAAAAATAATAACTACTGTATATATTAAGGAAATACAGAATATAGAGCTAGTTAAAGCTTTGAAATACCGGTACATTATGCCATATAATTTTTTGAGTGGAGATGCTTGCCATCCAATCCCAGGGTCCAGGGCCCAAATCCTGTCAGATTCCACAATTTTTCTGACACTCAAAAAAACTCCACTCCATTAGCCTTGTTATGAGAAGGACAGATTGCCACCTATTTTATAAGATAGTGATTACTGAAAATGTTTTTACTGCATTTTTTTCAGAACGATACAGATTATTATAACAATTTTAAAATTTATGTTACAAAACTATTAGACCTGTTGTATCAAACCATCCTTGCTACTTAGAATTATGCTTGGTTAGTTTTCTGCTAGCCAATCGTCTTTAAGACAGAATATTTCAGAGAATTAAAAGTAAAAAGTAAAAGAAAAAGCATATCCTAAGAGAAAAGTTCCAATTCATGAAACCACATGATCAGTTTTGAAATATAATAATTAGTGTTTATTGGGAAATCAATTGAGAAAAAAATTTAATTAAGAATAATAGGACTAAAAAAATCTGAAATTAAATTTCTCAAACAGTGTGGCAAATAGAAAAAAAAACAGTTTTGACTGGAATCTACTGTATGATGTATACTTATGGTTAGTGACAGTTTGAACTTTCTTGTTGGGATTATGCCTTGTTCAATCTCACATCAAGTGTTTGGAAAACTGTTTACCTCCTTTGATTCACAAAGCCCTAGTTTTAAGGCAGAAGTCTTGTAATAAATTACTCCAAAACCTCCTGCATAGCCTTCATTTTACCCTGCTCATAACAGTGAAATTGTTTAGGGTTTTATGTAGAGTAGATAAATTTTCTATTAAAGTTACATATTCAGTAGGAACTATGAGTAACTACCCTATACTACATTGGTTTATAAATCTAGGTAAAACTATTTGCTATCATGGATATCTGTGCTCTACTTGTAAAAGATGACAATATAATTGTAATATATTAACAAACAGGTACTGAAATTTGTTTATTACTTTGTTGAGAAGACCTCACTTAGCTTCTGCTATTTGGTCTCTGTTTAATTTCTTTTTCCATTATTTAAATATTGTTTAATTAAAAAGTCAAGAACATTTCATATTCATATAAATTGAAATAGTTACCTTGTGTTGCAGATGGATAAATTATGGTATTAAGGTAAACAACAGAGCCACTAAAAGAAGGGTTATTCAATTGATATCCGACTGTAGAACCTAAACATACAAAATAATTATTCAAATTAAAGGAAATTATAGTAAATTTCATTACAAAATAATTAAAATTGTATTAACATGAGTACTGTAAACTGCAATGTCATATATTTATTTAATGACACTTTTAATTTATGAAAACATTCAGAAATTAACATCAACAACTTCTGTACCAAGAACATCAATTCCCAAAAAACTAGTTTCTTGCACTTCATGACCAAGTAAAATCCTGCAAAAACTAACCCATCTCCCTCAATGATAGTTTGCATTTTACACAATGCATCATTATTTGTCTCCTTCAGCTGCACATAGCATAATACAATTAAATGTTAAAAATAGTCATTATACCATGTCTATCAAAGAATTCATTACACTATGTCTATCGAATGATTTAGTTTTTAATGAATTAAATCAAATTCAGTTGCATAATTACCATCACTGCATTGGACCATATTGTTTACCATGCAAACGTTATCTGAAAGAATTGCAAATGTTGGAAATGCATGAATTAATAAATGGGATGAAGTTAAAATTTACAAATTCAAAAAAATATTTTGTCTAAAACCCTTCTGGACTGGCAACACATAGTATAGATAATACAAAAATATACAGTGCCTATATAAATATTTTATATGGTAACAATAACATATGTTAATTTATTCACATTAACATCAATTACATTTTCTTACTTATTGCAAATTGGAGTGACTTTACAGTAAGTTATATTTTACCTGTTGATCCTAGAGAATGTTGCATTGCCAACTTATCTCCTACCAAACAAAAAATAATTCCGTCATTAAAATACTGTGAGTAATTGATTCAAAGATTTTGGAATAATAATGCTGGGGAGGGGCACAGATGGCTGCCAGCAGCCTTTGCTGGGGACGGAAGAGAGGGCCCCTTAAAGTGGGGAAAGTTTTACAATTCAATTTATTAAATCACTTTTTAATTGATTTCTGAGGCTCACATAACTGACAAAATGTGGCAAAGACAAGTCAAACCATTCACTTCTTACAAATTTTGATTTTTAATTTTTATTACATGGTTAAATATTAAGATGAAAGTTATAAAATGGTGAAAGAATTATTTTAAACTGACAATTCTTTGTAAAGTTACATCTGTATAAAAAGCAGTATTTGAGAAATCAGATTTCAAAGTTAAAGATTTTGAGGAATTCTGAGGCAGAGACTATAAAGAAATTGTTAAACAATGTTGTTTTAACAACATAGCCTGATGTATAGATTATGGATAGTTCAGTGCAATAAAATAGATTTTTAAAATTTCTGCACAAAAACATAATGTGCGAAGAGTGACTAATAGAATATTTAGTATGGCGACTCTAAATAATGACAAATGTGAGGCCCGTTTGTCATTTTTCAGTCACCAAATTCTTATTCTATTTGCAAATAATCAGTGAATCCTTTTTAGGATAATCTTGACAAAATATAAATTTAGGTTTTTTACTTAAATTGAATACATTTACCCATAATATAAATTTAAACACGCACAACACAAAAATAAACAAGCTTCTTTGACAAACAAAAACCAAAAAGCATAATATTTTTCAGTAAATTTCATTTTTTGAAAATGGACCACTATGACTGAAAACAACCAACACTTTCATGGGTTGAGGTAAGAGGTCATGGGTGTATGCAAGGGGAGGGGGGTCGAGAAGGTCATACACCCCCCACCAAATTTTCAAAAGTCCACATTTTTTTCCAGACACTTTTCACAATGACATAAATGAAAAAGTATTGATGAGGTACCAGCAATGAGTCCAAAGACCTTGTCAATTGCTTGACGCAATCTATCTTAATTCTAGCAATTCTGAAACTGTGCCTGCCATCCGCTTCAAGCTGGTGGCGCTGTAATCGATTTTCCTGTCTCCTAATGAAAAGGTCAAAATAATTATGATCACAACCCACCCAGAAAAATCCTGGATACACCCCTGGAGGTTGTCCTCCCTACTACAAAGAACAGCTTAGATCTGGAAGAAATGCAGAGACATTGATGCAACGTAATCAGTTATGATTCTCCTGTGAACCCCAGCAGTTACAGGATACAGTATTTAAGGTAATTTTGGCATTCTAGTCTAATGTGATGGTTACCTGTAGGTGTACTTGATCCAGCATGTGTGTCACCAGTCACTGTGTCACCACTCACTATTACCTCTCCTTGGTCATCTGCTATAAATTAAAGAGTAATATTTCTCCTTGATTTTTGTATTTAATATTTTCAACTTTTTATTCGATTAGAGGATATTTTCTAGATCTGAAATGGCCATATTCTGACTTCCACAAGCGATAAATTCTTATCTCAACACATATTATTTTTTATTGGGGTAAGTCAACTTACTATTAAGCTTTATGTTACAGTATGTATGTGCATGTGTGTGGGGAAATAAATGAAACAAATATACAAACAAACATTTTAATTTTTAAAATAATTTTAACCTATAGATGTAATTGGGCCAGCTTCTGTTTTACTAGTGTCTGTCTCACCAGTCAATGTGCTGCCAGTCAACAGCAGCTCTCCTTGGATATCTGCTGTATAGATAACAATTCTCTTTGATGTTAGTATTTTTTTAACAAATTGTGAAAGCTAAACATTTTTACTTACAATTATATTTTAATATATTAATGTAGATGATTTGTTATATTAGTCCAATAAATATATAATGCAACAGAAGGGGAGATATCCTCAATCAACAGCAACAGTTCTATTCAGAACTATCTATGTGGTGTAACCACAAGCATTAATGTTATTATTATTGTTATTATTTAACTATTTCTTAAATAATTTTGATGTTGAAAAGGTTTGTAGTTGATCACTTTTGTGTAGATGTTCCTTTTGTAGTGAGTAGTTGTTCTGTTTCTGTACTGTTTTGGGTTGACCAACCTGCATAGGTGTTTAGCACCTTTTTGGTCTTTCCTTGCCATGTTTTTGTAAATTTGTTTGTTGTTTTGTGCTTGGCAGAAATTTGAATAAAGAATTAAAAAGAATTATTATTATTATTAATATTATTATTATTATTATTATTATTATTATTATTATTATTATTATTATAGTTTCATATGGTTTGAAATAGTATAATGTGATTAATATGTGTGTAATATATATGTGAAATGTCTTGAAAAGGTAAATAAATACTGGTTTATTTACAAATAACAACAATCACATTAGAGCTTTCTATTAGATGGATGTAGCATGAAGAGAGTTATATGTTTTGATGTGGATTAGAATCCTATATGAAATACACGAAAAAGAAAAAAAAATAAATCCCAACTGTTAAGGGTCAAAATTGACAAGATTGGTTTATGAAGTAACACGCTGTAGTATGGTCTATATACTGATATTCACTCATGCATTAAGGGGAGAAAATTCTGGTTTATTGCTCAAAAGTGTCAAAATGTAAATTTGAATGATTTTTTTCTAATTATTTTTTGAGTGCTGTGGATATGATACAATGAAAAAAAAATTAAATGTCCCTTTAATAAGAGTTATTTGACCATATGGCACACTCAGAAGTGTCCCCATCCCCTTAAAAGGGGTGAGGTGTCCCCTTAATAGGGGTTGGCTGTAGTGTTAAAAGATATATTACCCCTCATTTCACGGAAAAGTGTCCCCTGAATAGGGGTGTCCCAAGGGGTTCTACTGTATTTTCAAAATCATGTGTTTGGTTAATTTTATTACTGTATATACACATCAAAATTCATAATTGTCCCATCCGTAACATTTGAGGAGTTTTTTACAGTAATATGAAAAGTAATGCTACAAAAAACTTGATATTAAACATTCTCCTACAAAAAAATATAACTTTAATATTTTATCAACAAATTTTTAGATAATTTTTTGTTTAACCTGCCTAAAATACAATATTTCAAAAATAAATTGTTACGGACAGGACAGTTTTCTTACGGATGGGACACTTCAAAATTACCACATTACAAGTTTCTTTGCTACTGCATTACAACAATAAATGTAGCAAAAATACTAAAATTTCTTATGGAGTGTAAAGATTTGTATTATCAACAAACAATAACAAACATAAGTACTGGAACATATGCCTTTTTTGAAAAGTATATGCTACAGACAGTACAGTAATATCAGTGATAATATATTCCTCCGTGAATAGGAAGTTAAAAATGATGATTAGAGCCAAAGATATAAATTAAATCTGTATCCATAATTTTATGAGCAATCAATTATTAAAATTATGTTTTAGTTTCAGTGTACAATTGGTTAAGTGTAGATACAATAATTGAAGATAGAAGTGCTACAATTTTATACTCCCTCACAGATTGATAAATATAACTTCTTCATATCTTTAAAAAAAAAAGATTTAATATCTCTCTCAGGAGAATGATTAGAATATGCAAAACTTTCTAAAAGTCATGTCCAAATATTGTCCCATCCGCAGCGCATACAATTTTAATCATAAAATTTTAAAAAAAATTTAACCTATAGGTATACATGTAAACATTAAAGAAATTTCAAATCTTGTATTCTATATAATTACTAGGATATAACAAGTTATATTCTAAAAAATATCCTGTCCATGACAAAAAATATTGTGGAATGCCCCATAAAGTAATGTATTATTTTTTGTAATATAATCATTACAATCTCAAATAGTTTCTTCTGGTTTCTGAATGTATGAACATGGAAAATTCTTGTGAGTAAAAAATAAAAACAAACTTTCCAACATCTACAACTGATCAGTCCTGAAATTGCATTACCAGTCATTGTCTGATGAAGATCCACTGATAACAGATTGAAATGTGTTACAAAAAGTATGTAAATTTATCATTGTTTTACTCACAAGAATTTTCCATGTTCATGTGATCAGTCGGGGATAGGAAACACCAGTGCAAATGAAAGTGACGATGTCACCACTGATAAAAATACTATAAAATATAAAACATACCTTTGTTGGGTTGCTCGATTGAACCTTCCATTTCTTTTTCTGGTTGACCTTAACTTTCTGTTTCAAAAATTGTGAAACATTCAATTTCAATTCAATTCATTTTTCCTTTTTTCATCATGGTCTATGGTGTCGAAGGGTTTGAGAAAATCAATGAAGATGCCAATTGCAAGTTTATTTGATTCAAATGCATTTTCAAATATCATTTGTTAACTTAAGAAGTGCAGTGGAAGTAAATGTAGTTTTTACGAAATCTAGTAATACATGGCTCTTTTGAAGGAATTGGTACGTTCGATTATAAACGAGACATATTTTGAAAAGAATTGGAAGTACAAAGATGGGCGCGGTAGTTTACTGGATCGTGTTTATCAACAGACTTGAAGATCAGGGTTTACTATCATTTACGAATCCCTTTTCATTGAAATAAAGACTATAAAGTCTGGGATTCGTAAATGGTACTATCATTAGATAACAGATTGATCCATTCTTATATTATAAAGTTTCATTGTAAATTATATGAGTATTTAATCCACATAATTTATGTTTTCAATTATTTAAGCATTTAAACAATTCAGTGGGCCTAACGCTTGATGTAAACGTAAAACAAAACAAAAACAAAAAACAAAAGCATCGCCAAAGTGTTCACGTATGCAAATGCTAATACTATCGCGCGATTACACGCGTATTTTTGGTAAGCAGAGCTCAGGATGGTTCACACGAGGTGACGAATATCCGTCGAAATGCTGTATAAATAAACTGCAATTATGTAAATAACTTTCACAAGAAGCTTACGAATATCTTAATTAATATAATCTTAATTAATATTTTAAATTAGTTAATTACTAATTAATTAATAGATTGATATAAACATTGTGACCTTATAACTACAATTTATTTAATATGTTATAAATAATAAATACAAGAATCCTGCAATGAATTTTTCAGGTCAGAAATTGGCATCAAAAAGCAATAATTTTTCAATCGCGATATTCGTATTTTCGGTTCATGGAAATAACGATGATAAACACATAATAATTAGTTTATAGTTTTCATTATAGTTATTTTTAATAGATAGTAATTTAATAGACAAATAGGAAAAACCCAGAAACAACATGTCGCATAAATCGCGTAAATAATAAGCCTAAAACAATTTATGTATTACGTAAACGTAAAAGAGGAGAAAAATCTGATCAGAATGAAGTAAAAAAACTTTGCCTCCACCATGACCCAAACCCCGTTGGACGCAGTTTCTTTTTTCATTATGATAAGATTTTCCTCTTATATTACGTTTAAATTATATATAAAATATATATATTTTATATATAATTATATTATATAAAAGAACATATGTATATATAATTATTATATATGTATACCTATATATACATATATATATATATATATATATACATATATATACATATAAATATATGTACATATACATGTACATATATACATATATCTATATAGGTATATATACTATATCTATATATATGTATATACTATATATATGTATATATATATATAGGCCTATGTATATGTATATGTATATAGATATATGTATATATATATATATATATATATTTATAGGCCTATGTATATATATGTGTGTATATGTATATAATATATGTATATGTATATATGTGTATATATATATGTGTGTATGTATATATATGTATATGTATATGTATGTATAATAACAGAATAAAATAGGTAAAATTTTATTGAAAAAAACCAAACAAATTTTACATTTATGATGTATTGTTGATTTAATATGCTGAATCATTATTAATGGTATATAGGCCTACCTATTATATTTCTATAAATTAATCAACAATTATCTCATTAATCACACTATCGTAAATAGGCCTATTGAAGCATTATTGAAGTATTATTAATTATTCACGAAAGCATTATTCGAGCACCTTTATTATTATTATTATTATTTATTTTTTTATATATATTATTTATCAACCATATTAACATTGAAAGCATGAATATGCATATGTGGATAAAATTATCGCAGAAAATAAACTTATAATTTATAAGATTATTTTTTAAAACAGAATCAAATAGATAATGTTTTTATTTAAAAGCAGGTTTTGCATGGACGTAATTTTATTTAATATGCTGATTATTACTATTTCATTAATCAAACTATCGTAAAATTATTATTATTATTATTATTATTATTATTATTATTATTATTATTATCATTATTATTATTATTATTATTATTATTATTATTATTATTGTTATTATTATTGGATTGGATTGGATTGGATTTATTCGGTGTAAACACCAAGGATAGCCCACGAAAGTCTAGAAGAAGAAACAGAAAAACAGAATCAAATAGATAATGTTTTTGGACGTAATTTTATTTAATATTCTGATTATTACTATTTCATTAATCAAACTATCGTAAAATTATTATTATAATTATTATTATTATTATTTGTTTATTTTTTGCTTTAAGCAAATATAATATAATGTTAACAATAACATAGGCTAAGCTAGACCTAATCAATTATTGATATGATAAAGGCAAATATTTAGAACATCATTAATACAACACCTTCATGACAGTCCGGCCCTCCAAATCTTGTTTTAATAAATAACTGAATTCACTTCAATGATATATTTTGATCTTCATTCATTATTATTATTATCATTTACTTTTTATTATTATTTATTTATTATTATTATTATTATTATTATTATCTGTATTATTATTATTATTATTATTATTATTATTATTATTATTATTATTATTATTATTATTATTATTATTGTCTTTGCCATTAATATTTTTGTTTCTCTGGAAGGTGTCTTGTACAGGGACATGTTCCTTTTTGCCTAACCAGTCTCTTTACGTTTTGAGTGAAATAAAATTATGAATTACACCAATGTCATCTGTCGATAAAAACATCGATTCGATAAATTAACAGCAGCTTTTCGCACTGTGGCAGTGCCGATAAAAAACAGCAACTTTTTGGCACTGCTGCAGTGCCGATAGAAAACAGCAGCTTTTTTTTGGCACTGCGGCAGTGCCAAATCGGCACTGCGGCAGTGCCGATAGCCACTACCGTGTAAGTTAGAGGCTCAACTAATAACAAGTTTTACATGTTTACATCCATGATGGGAAGTAGTGGTAGCAGCAGTAGAAGCGACAGCGATGATGAAACAACCAGTACTGATATTGTGAGTTCAAAACAATCAATAGTAATTTCGGACACCCAGGGCCTAGGCCTACATGCAAAGCAACCAAAAACGTATTCAAGAAGGAAGGGCCATCCTCTTTCCGTGGAACCTGATAGATAGGCTAGCCTATCTATTACTACTAGGCTACTACTAGGCTAGGCCTAGACACGGTCTAGGCCACTTCGATCGCCAGGATTGCGCCTGTACCTAGACACTCAAGTATAACTGAGTAGTAATCTAATAGGCATTTAATTTCATTTATAATTTTTCTTGTAAGGCAAGCTTAAAAAAAAATTTCAGTTACCAATTGTAAAACAGTGCTGAACGTGAGTGAGGTGAGAAGGGAGTCCAAGAAGGAAGGTAAACCAAATTACTATCAAAAGTTGGTTTTTCTGACACCGTTTCAAACAAACACATTCTCTAAGCACTACTTGTAGTTAGGAATAGGATATAGTTTATAAATAAATTAAAAATTCTTCAATAAAAATTTACTTTAAAAATGTATACTGTCACACCAGAATGAAATTTATAAAATATACAGTATATTAATTAAATATTTAAGGCCAATTATTAGTAGTAGGGGAAGTATATGCTGCCATCATGTTGAATACAGGTTGTTTGATGATTATGCCGTCATTTGAATTGATTTGTTGAAATTATTTTTTATTGTACCATATATACGATAAGTCTTATCGTATCATCCTCGTGTAATTACTTTTATTTCTTTTATTTCCTGTATGAAAAATTACTTTTTAGCTTTTTATTGTTATCGATCATTATCGACGGAACTGCATTTAATAGGCAATTTTAATGCCAACCTGGTCCAATGGAACAGTTTCAGCCTTGCATGAAATTTAGTTTGACTACACTCTTCTTATGTTTGTCTTTGATTCAGGTTCACTACTGTATGATAAACAATTTATATTGAACAACTTGGACGATGGTTTCCTCATCAGAACACCCCAGTTTTAGCTCTAGTCCAGTCTGTTTTTTTTTTATCTTTTCAAATTGTTTTTAATAATAGTTGCAATCATCGCAAACATTGGGAGTGCAGTTGTTGAATTCAACATTTTTCTTCCTTACAGACCGTGGAAAGTTATGGTGTTGTTGCTTCTACTGCAAGTACAACAGGTAAACTGACAAATGCCTTTTTTTTTAAATTATTAATAAGAGTTTATTAAGTGGCCACTTTACAAGAACAAGTCCTTAAAGACTAGGAACCACTGACTTCCTTACTATACATATAGTAAGGAAGTCTGTGCACTTTCACAGTCGAACCAGACCAACAATCCAACAGAAGTTATAGATATTCACTGCACTGTACAACGGTCGTACAATCATCGTATGGCGAATCCTACTTTCTGCTTCCTGTGAGCGCCAGCCTACATAGCAGGACCTGCTCATTGTCGGTGTCTGAATGGATTGTCATTAAAAACGATCCATTGTGCTCATTGAGGCATTGCATTCTTGATGGAGTTGTGTCTGTCGACAACTGCGTTGAGTGTTGAGTGTCTGGCTTTAGTCTTTCAATTATAGGTCTTTACCGTCATCAGCTTGGTTTCTTTATAGTGTTTTTTCCCACAAATTAAAAAATATGGAACAAATTAAGTGAATAATAATGTAGAATCAGAATGAATTTTAGTGTTATGAATTCATTACAAATTCATGAAAATTGTCTTCCTTGCTACAAAGACATAAGTATAACAAATTTGCAGCAGAAAATATTGTGCCTGAATATGTTCTAGTTTTTTTCTGTGTTTTTTTTTTTAGATGTGGATCTCAATCCCAAAGACTTCACCCTTGGTATGTTGTTTAATCATTCTACTTTTGAGAGAAGCAGCATCTAAAATCAGGTTTGTGTAATGTATTTAAATATTTTATATTTATAAAATTAATATTATTTATAATATAATAACATCAATATAATTACATACATATTTCAAGTACAATCAATACTTTCTTTAATAATAATACGAGCATAAGAACATTTCCTCCCCCTGCAAATCCATTTCTATAAAATATATCTTCCAAACCTAATTTAAAACCTTCACCCCAACCAATTTTCCACCCCAAAACCCAACCCTACCCACCCCCTCAACCTTCGGTCATACCTACTTTGACATGCCCTGTAAATTTCTATTGAGATATTTTGAACACATACACAATTGAAAACATATATCTCCTGGCAAACATAATAATAATAGTTGATTGAGCGCATTTTGCTAAAACCCTCAATATGTTTAAATCTGGGATTAAGCAAAATATAAATTAAAAAGATGTTTCGAGTAGTTGTTCGAATGCGTTGATGTTGTCGAATTTCCTTTGTATTTTTTATCCTAGTGTATTTTTATATCATGAAATTTACAGTATTTGTATGTAATCATTATCATTATTCATTCAAAAGTGTACAGTCACTCAAATCGAAAGCTCACAAAAATAGCATTTTATTACTAGTTGCTAAATTTAATTTTCGAACATAATATCCTGCCATCATCAACATCTTTTGAAGCAGTATTGTCATCGCTTTCATCCTTCTTTGGAGGAATTTTACCTGTGGTGTGAAATCTTGGTGTGCCGGATCTGACAGCTAGCCCTGATACACCAATCATTCGCAGTGTATTAGTTAAAACAAAAGCCTTTTACCTAGTTATTGCCATCACTGCGCTCGTTAATCGGCCAGCCTAGCGTTTCTTTTGTTTTAAACCTGAGCTCATTTGCATATTTGGACATACAATGATCTCGCAGCACCAACTGCTTAATTTATAGTGTGAAGTGGACTGGACGCTTTTAATTGATTTTACATTGATTACCTGATCAAGCTTTTATACAGTAGATATATTTTGTTTCATGTCACATTTTCGTGATTTAACATACGTTTATGTACTTTTTTCATCCAGTGAGCAAGTGTTACATTTTACCAAGAGTAGGGCTTATTTATGTGGGGTGCAGCGCTTCGTATCTGTAAAGAAAGGCGCTTTATAAATGACCAGATTGGATTTGATTGGATTTACAGTGACAGGTAATATACAAGACAAAGAACAGCTTCAATATCATTTAATTCATTTCCGCTTGAAATATTAATAAAAGAAAAGAAAGAAGAAAGATATTATGTTTATGATACAAATAAAATGTACAATTTTTATTACAACCATACCGTTTAGAGCTATAATGTAAACTGTTGTGTAGCATTCATGATCTTTTTATTTGATTTAATTCACCCTAAAAATGACATGGAAGCCACTTCCAGGGAAAGGGCTTCTCTTTTTCTAAAATCAATTTTAAGACATGAAGTTCATGTAACACCTAAGATTGAAACATAGGGTGAACCATTACAGCCTGTCAACAATGCATGCTGGAGTAGGCATGGGCTGGCAATGTTCAGCTTGTGGTTTAACTCTTGATCAGAATGGAGACCGCTGTGCCAAACCAACTTCAATTTCCAACAATGTAGGGTCTACCGATCCCCAAGTTATTAAAAGTGTAACGGAGGGTTAAGTAGAGATTATGTTGCAAATTACAAGCAGGCAAGCTATGGATGCAAATTGCTGAATATTTATAAGGACAAAATGCAGCCAATGTTCGCTCAGCGATCTTACTTGCATGCACACTCTATAGTTGATTTACAACTATGTATAACTTCAATTTCATTTAATTCCAGTGTGCAATGGTGACATTTTACCTAGAGCGGGTCATATGCAAGTAATTTCAAAATTTCAATATAATTTAATTCATATTGTGTGTTAATAATACAAATACGATGTGCAATTTTTATTACAACCATACCGTTTAGAGGTATAGTATAAACTGTTATGTGTAGTATTCATAATCTTTTTATTTTATTGAATTCACCTTACATGGCATGAAAGCCACTTCTAAGTAAAGGGGCTATTCTTTTTTCAATCAATTTCATGCCATGAAGTGCTTGTAACACCTAAGATTGAAACATAGGGTGAACCATTACAGCTCGTCAACAATACATGCTGGAGTAGGCATGGGCCGGCAATGTTCAGCTTGTGGTTTAACTCCTGATCAGAATGGAGACTGCTTCACCAAATCAACTTCCCCAATGTAGTGTCTACAGATCCCCAAGTTCGTAGAAGTGTAACAGATATGGGTGATGTAGAGATTATGTTGCTAATTGCAAGCTAGGCAAGCTAAATGGTTGCAAATTACTAAATATTTATAATGACAAAAAATACAGCCAATGTTGGCTCAGTGATTTTGCTTGCATGCACACTCTATAGTTGATTTACATCTATGTATAACTAATAAATAATTTTTTAGAAATGCAAAAATCTGCTTTTACTCTGAACAGTATCAATATTTCAAAAGCCATGCTGTCGCATATGATTTTAAATTTTTTTCTTGCCAGAAGTATAATTTTTTAAATGTTTTACTCCATTTAATGTTTGTGTCATGGGGTGTCTTAATTTAAAATGCAATCATATTAAGTTCTTACCTTAAATCAATTGTGTGTCGACTGGTAGAAATGGAGGTGTTGCTACTTGTGATCAGTTTAATGTGGGTGGTTTCTGAAAACAGCAGAATATTCATTGTGAAATTTTGATTGAATTGTGTCAATAGGTAACAAGTCTAAAGCAATGCACACAAAATGTATTGATTTTATGATAGCTGATAAAAAAAATTAGTAAATATTTAAAAAATGCACTGAAATTCAGATTGTACATATTTCAAATTTACAATTTAAAATATTATAATTATTAATTAATATTTTTATTACTTTTTATTACTAATATTTTGTGTATAACTTTTAAAATAAAAATTAAATTTAAAATTATTAAGATACATTAATATAGAAATGCTCAAAAATTCTGATTAAACATTATTTTAAATAGAAATAATTTAATTATTTAGAACCTAACTTAAAAAACAGTTGAATTTTCAAAAGGTGTTTATCTAGAGACTTGGTTATCTGTATCTGTATCTTCACATACAAACACCAAAATGCTGGTTGTCGCGTACCTCGGTCAGGTTGAGGTGTGGGTAACAACTAAATATTGTAGTGAGCTTTGGTCATTAATTTATAATAATAATAATAATAATAGATGGATTTATATAGCACAAATAAACAAGGTCTCTATGCGCTCGGGACCAGATGTTGCACTTTTCAAAAACTTTCTTCTCCCCTGAGGGTCACCTCATGTCCTACGCAGCCAGTAAACGGGCGCACTTTCATCTGTCCACGACAGGGGCCAAGTGAACCAGCACACCGGGGTAGCCCCTTATTCATCTCGAAAGATGTACTGGATTCTTTAAAGTGCACATGAGCATTTGTGTACACTGGGCCTACGGTTTATAGTCCTTATCCGAGAAGACTTGTTCCACCACCAGCACTATACGAGCGAGCCGGCCACAAACCTGTGCCGATATTGTTTGGCTCACTCAAATTTATGTATATTAATGGAGTCCAAGGCAGCTTTAAATGATTTTATATTGGGTGACGTGCGAATATCCTCGCTTAAGCAGTTCCATTCCAGAATGGACCGTGGGTATAATGAGTGATGGTAGCAGTCTTTATTTGTTATTAATTAAACTTAATTTGTTATTAAATAAATTTATGGATTTTGGAAGAAATGACTTTCTTAGTAGATCTAGTGTTTGTAGTACTGTTCTTATTATACTGTAATAGATCTTAGCACTTTTTTTCATCATCTGGCTTTGAAGAATTTGCCTCATTAGCATATTCATGTATCAGTAGAAGCTTACAGGGAAACATGAATTGAAACATACGCTGCAATAAACTGAACAAAATTATCATCATTCTACCATCTGCCAAAAATACTGTGATTGTAGAACATTTGCAGTCATTCACAATTATCAACAATTTCGCAAGTGTACAAACAGTACTCTTTTTCGGTACCCCTCCTTTCCCTCTGAAAGCGTACATAAAATATGTTAATTTTACAAAACCATTTTCTCCATTTTTTGTGAAGCAAACTAAAGCTGCTCTCTTATACATTGTCTTAGTAGTTACATATACTGTACTGTAATATAGACCTGCAAATGGATGGATTTCAGAATTTTATATCAAATATTTCCTTCTTTTAATGTTAACACTTACCTTTAACTTTCCTGAATGTGATAATTTAGAAGTACAGTAAACCAGTAAAGTAATTTAACACAATTTTACTGTATTTAATGTCTAATCTAGATAGTGACAACTCTCAAAATGGAACTTCACTTTAGCAGGCTGTAGTTTATTGTATGAAACACACCTTTTTGTTATTCAAATGTAGTAGTATGTGCATTCATAACCTTTTATATGCATGAGTTGCAGACAATAGAAAGTGATATTTCATTTTCTTATGTACAGTAGTTTATTGATTGAAATATTCTGCTCTCTTTAAATCTGGCCTAAAAAATGGTTGTTTGCCCTCTCTTGTAGTCTTTAAGGGGTGACTGACAATGTAATTTCAATGCTGTAGTTTAATATATCTTGCCATATTTATAGGTAATCAGACATAAACCGAAAGGTCCACTGATTAATCTCAGATAAGAAAGTATAATACATACTCCAAGTATTGAAATACACGTCATCGTGTTGGGATTCAATATTTCAACATTAATTATGTCATCATCAGACATAAACCACCCGGATGAAAACCACCCAAACTGGAATATACCATTGTGAAAGTAGGGTGGGCAGTGGGGTGGACAATGTTGGGTGGGCCTGTTTTTATATCATCTTCACAATAGGATAGATTACACTGTGACTGTGACCTATTATACGCGTTTAATTCATTCAACTCTTTTGACAACATGCATGTATGTTAATAATCATTGTAGATCTCAGTTTTTGGGGGTTTTTTTTTGTCTCTGTTCTGCTTCCACCCTGCATGTGCCTGATCAAGCCATGGCCTGGATTTTTTTTGTGACGTTCAATGCTGATGCAAAATAATATGCAATATTTAAAATAATAGAATTTTATGATAAATTATAATGCAATAATGGATATAATATACATTAACGTATATACAGGTAAGCATTTATTAATTTTGTTGATTTCACAACAAAGGAGAATTGTTTTTTAATATCAATATTTTTGTCATCACGGGAGGGATGGGGTAACAGAGAACATTATGGTTTGTGCATTTGTGAAGATGTTGACAGTTGTGAATGACCCTTAACAAAGCAAAAGGTGAAGAAAATCAAATAATAATAATGCTATTTATTAAGAGTCAAAAAAAAAAACTATTGAACAATAACAAAAAATAGACATATTAAACATAATAAACATTTGTTAATTTGTATTACTATATTAAGCTTTGTTGACGAATTTACTTTTTTTTGGCGTACCGGTAGTATACAGCTTTATTGGTCGTTAAAAATTGCACTATAGCCCAGGTATTCAACCTTTTTAAGCTGAGAAATGACATTTAAGTTCTCAAAATTTTTTTTTTCCAATGAGGGGGGAGGGGGTCAGGACCCCCCTTGACCCTCTCAGATCCGCCAATGTGTATATAGCATTTATCATAATAATAACAATAATAGTTGGTCCTAAGAAACTAAAACGTACTCCTTAAACTAAAGCATGGTTAGCCGTAGGTTCCGAGGAGTCCACCTGATTTCTGCCCACTGGCAGGTTTACGGCAGTTAATTTCTCAAATTGTCAATATTATATGCTCTACATTTCATTATGATCTTCAGTGCCTTGAAAATGCTGGATAAAATTATGAATGACCATCCATTACACTCTATTATAATCACTCAGAAGTCTGGTGTAGGCCTAGCCCAATGACATGTCGCACTAAATGTTGCCAGTGGCGGATCCATGAATTTTAAATAGAGGGGGCCCAAAGAAGAGAGTTTACAGATAGAGGATCTACACTACCACAGCTCCACCATGGTTGGGGCTGAGGTTAAACAATTTATGATTTGGTACATCTTTAGGCACAGACTCAAAATTTGAGTAGAATTCCCCCCCCCCCCACCAATTTGCCTAAGGGTACACAGAATGATTTCTACCAAAGTAAATTTCATTGTTGATGTAGTGGACGGAGATACAAATCACGAAAACGAGTTGAAATTTCCATAAACCTTTATTGAAACCCGTTGCTATAATTAAAAGATAAAAACATAACATACAGTAGCAATGCAACTTCTAACCAGTCTAAA